TGAAGGACAGGAAGGCCTGGCGCAATATGGTTCATGGGGTCACGAAGAGTCGGACACGACTTAACGACTAAACAACAACAACAACAATATATGTAGGGATCATATTGCATAATCTATGAATATCTGAGATGATTTAAATGAGGACGAAGGCATTAATGGCAATACCATCAATAATGTACTGTACCCATGACCGATGTCTTCCTAGAACTTTATTGATTGCACCAGAAGTCCAGTAGCCTTCATTGCAGTTGAACTTGCTTATATTTCTGCATATTTTGATTTATACATTTCTTTATAGGAGATTCCAGAGCTGTCACCCAATAGCCCTCCTGCAGACAGTCCTGCTTCTCCTCTCAACAATCAGCTGGGGAACTTTTGCACAGATGAGACACCCACGGCATCTCAGGGGCTGTTGAAACTGCTTAGGATCAATTTGGAGGAATCCTCTGGAGAAAAATTGGTATATTACTGATTCTTTATCAATTCAGAAAATTCAGTGCTTATATTATAATTAAAAACCTTTTAATTATAACAACCCATAAGATTAAATGCAGTGGTATACTTTTAGATAGGAAAATATTTCAGATATATTAATCTAAATGAGAAGAACATAGATGAATTAAAGCAACTTCTACTTATTTTTCTAAAAAATTTTGTGGTGGCTTGAAAATGTCCTCCTCCTTGGGCTGTTGGCTTTCAGAAGGCGGAATGGCATGTGTCCCCAGCTCCCGTGGACTTACATCTGTAGCAGGAGATTGCTGGGGCTGCTTGGAAACAGGTTTGCAGGCGGGGAGGTCGCTGTCATTGTGCCATTTGTGGGTGGAATGGTGTGTGTCCCCCGGCTCCTGCAGACTAATATCTATAGCAGAAGCTCGCTAGGGCTGTTTGGAAGAAGGTGTGCTGGAGGGGATTGGCCACCATTCTGTCTTCTGTGGGCACCAACGCAGCTGTTGGTTAGTCTGGCCTGGACCCTGGCAGTGAGTTTGTTTTTGGCGCCAGTGCTGAAGTTGCCCAGTTGTGGTTTGCAACATTGCCAAATTGTGGCTTTGCAATGTCGTTTAGTAATGACGCTTTGTTTCTTGGGAGACTCAGCGCAACAGATCAGCCTGCCCCAGGGACATTGCTTTACATGGCCTTTGTAGATTGAGAGGCTGCGCAGGACTCTACAAAGGACTCAGAAGACCGCCTGAGGGTTGTGATCAGCTGAACTGGGAGGAGCAGTGACATTGGAGGGCAGGTGCCTTGGGGCTGTTGTGGTTCCCCCCTTTTGCAAAAGCCATTTTATTTCTGGGTCCCAGGCTGAGACCAGAGGAGTGGGGATGTCCCGTGATTGTGTGAGATTCCCTCCCTCGGGTGAGAACTGGGAGGGGGATTGGGGTGTATAGGTTGTATGAAATGGGGACAACCCTTGGCCAGCCTAGTGAGAGTGGTTGGTGGGGGAGGCCTGTGTTGGTTGGTCATGTGAGGAGTGGATTGTTGAGTCCCCCATGGCGTTGAGAGCTTGAGCTAAGTACCCGGAAGACTCAGCCTCCTCCTCTTTTAGGATGAAGGAGTATGAAGGAGTGATGTGGGGATCCCCTCTTTTGGGAGCTGGAGGGCATGGGGTGGGGTGTTTGGGAGGGTTGGGGGCAGGATAGAACATCATGGTGGTGACGGGTAAGGGAAGGTATGATGAGAGACTGGGGGCAGGCCAGTCTCAGGGAAACAAGGGCCTGGTGTCTCATACTGGTTCCTTGTTCCGGCCCCCGGATCTCAACTCCGGTTCCTGGTCAGCAGGCCTTCAGAAGCCTTGGCTTTCGGTTGCTGCTACTAAATGCTAAGTCAGTGTGTAATAAAGCCTTCCTCATCTGTGACTTAATCACAGATGAGAGGGATGACCTGGCATGTATTACTGAGATCTGGCTGGGTCTGGAGGGGGTGTGTGTTCCCTCTCAGAAATGTGCCCAGCTGGGTTTTGGGTATGGCATCTCTTTTTATAGCCTGATAAGTTAGGGCGGATCCTTTCTGAGTTTCTCTGCCCGTTACGCAGCTGTGCCCCCCTTATCTGATCGTTACCTAGGCAGCATCTCTTCCCTCATCTCCTGAGGTCATCATCCCTCCCAAGGCGAGGTTAGCCCCAACCTTTATTGCCTTCTGGAAAGCCCTTAAAATGTGATTTTTTTCAACAGGCCTGGGGATCCCCTGGTGGTGGGGAGACTCCTCGCTGGCTGTATTATGCGTGATGTTCTCCCGCTTGCGGTTTTGTTTTTATGTTTACTATTTTCATTGTTTTTAATTGGTTTTATAGTAGGTTTTAATGTAGGCTGGAGAGAGTCACTTTGTGTGAGATGGGCAGCCATATAAATTCAACAAACAAACAAACAAAATAATGAAGCAACCAATAAGGAGAAACAAGGCTGTATATTTGAATCCCAAGGAAAGTTTGAACAAGACCAAATCTATTAATATGAATAGTTCATATAAAAATATTTTAAGGAATGTTTGGTTAAAACCAGCACCTTGAAGAGTACTTGGAAGCTATTAGGAACAGTTAGTTCTTGGTGCTTGTTTTCCATTGAAAAACTTGTTTATTTTTAATCTGAGATATGATGCATTGCCTTGTATTGTAAAAGAGAGGGTAGCTGAAAGAAATTCACTTATTTGTGCCATGTTGTACATGATAATTTTATTTATTAGATTTATAACCTGCCTCTTTTTGGTGCAGCTCAAAGCAGCATGCATAGTGCTCCTTCCTCATATTTCCCCCAGCCCTGTGAGGTGGGTTGGGCTGAGAGAGCGTGTCTGGCCCAAGGTCACTCAGCCAGCTTCCCTGGCTAAGGCAGGACTAGAACTCACCGTCTCCCAATTTCTAATCCAGTCCCTTAATCAAACTGGCCGTTAATACTATGTTTATTAAGACATGTTTACAATCATATTTTAAACGTCTAAAAATGTACGCCTCTGAGATGGAACAGAATGCTAATCTGTGTTTTGACACTCTTATAGTTTGAGACCAAATTTATTTTATACCAATCTAGATGATACAGTTCAAGAAGTGTGCTAGTGCCTTGCACACGAATTCCTTTTTTTTACCCATTCAGAAGAAAACTTTTTGATACCATATTTCACCTTTACACATTTCTATTGCGGTATCTTTGTGAGTTGCTATTAGAGATCAATGTTTATAAATTACTGATAAAGTGAAAATGCTGCATTGGAGAGGAAGAAAAAAAAGCTTGGCTGTACTGAAGTTTCCAGGGGGCTGCAATGTCTGTAGCAAATCACAATAATGTCAAAATGACAACATGCACATCATGCATATGTTGCCATTATGTATTTGCACCATTACAAATTTGCCATTATATATTTGTGATGCAAGTATGTAAGTCACAGCATTTCATGATGATCATCACACCCCTGCCCCCGACATCCATAGCAGTAGTGTAATCCTTTCTATGCTTTCCTCTCGAGGCAAAGGAGACAATGAAAGAAGAATCTTGGAACATTCATTTCTTTGAATACGGGAGGGGTGTGTGTATGTACCGCACAGCCAAGACCCGTGAGCTGGTGCAAAAAGGAATTCCGGAGAATCTTCGTGGAGAACTGTGGCTCCTCTTTTCAGGTGACGTTTCTTGCTAAATGTGCACAACAGATTCCTGACTTAAAGGGAAAAATATTTTTTCCCCTGTTAATCAGTGGTATAGTGGTACTGCCCTTAAAATGAAATTTCTCCCCAAACTGGAGGTGAGCTGAAAAGTCAATAATCATTGTTTCCAGATTTCTAAGCCAATTGCTTCAGACAACATTGAGGCTTTTTTCCCTAAAAATTTTTTTTTCAAAGTTTGCTAATATGGAATATAGGATAAGTGCTATTCTTTAAAATATTCTTTCTAAATATATCCTTCTTACTATTAACATCATGCATCCTCAGTGTAAACCAGCTGCTGAAGGCTTGAAACTGACAACCTGCAGGAAAACTGTTATTTGTAGAAGCCTCAGCCTTCTTGTGATTCTCAAGAATCACATCTTGAGTGCAAAAAGCAAGAAAAATAATTTTTGTATGTCGATATAGGGGCCTCAAATGAGATGGCCACTCACCCTGGGTACTACAGCGACTTGGTGAAGCAATCTATGGGAAAATATAGCCTTGCCACTGAGGAAATTGAAAGAGACCTGCATCGTTCAATGCCCGAGCACCCTGCCTTTCACAATGAACTAGGGTTTGCTGCACTTAGAAGGGTACTAACAGCATATGCTTTTCGGAATCCTACCATTGGTTACTGCCAGGTAAGAGAGTGACATTCCTGGATTACTTAGTTGTTTGATGGCACTCCTTGTCACAGTTCAGCCATAGTTTGAATTGGAGCTTGACCTTTCCTACCCTATGGATAGGAATATATTGCCTTAACTGAGAGCCCGATTTGGGCTCTGAATATCACTTTGTACTGAGCAAGCCAGGCAGGAAGAAGGCCTTACAGTGATTAAATTCTTAGGCATGGAAGCCTCCTACTTCTGTTTCCATTTTCTCAGGGCGTGGTTAAACAATCTGTGGGCTGGGTGATTCTCCAGCCTCTTTTTTATAGACTCCTCCCATCTTCATGTGCTTCTTGGGAAAAAGGATCTCTGCCCTGAAAGTTCTGGAGGAAAAGAAGGAGAAAGAGAAAGGAATAGTGAGGGTGTATAAAGGCATATGAGAATATCTCTTTTCCTCTTTCATTTCCCCAGTGAAATTTCAGGAGGACCTTCCTTCCTTCCTTCCTTCCTTCCCTCCTTCCTTCCTCCCCTCCTTCCTTCCTTCCTCCCCTCCCCCCCCCCCTCCTCCCCCCCCCCCCTTCTCTTCCTTTCTTTCTCCTTTTTTTTTTTTTTTTTTTTTTTTTTTTTTTTTTTTTTTTAATATAAATAAAATTTTTTTTTTTTTTTTTTATTTTTTTTTTATTTTTTTGT